GACCACAGTTATTTGGAAGCCACTTTTCAGCAGTCTTTTTCCATATGCCATGCAGAATTTGAATGAAAGCCAATTGCGTAATCCACAATGAAAAATGGTGAAATACTTCTAAAATGAGATGGGAGAGACCATTGTCTAAGGGAAGCATTAGGTTTTGGTGAAGGACAATACCTAAGAGAAGGAAGGCAAGGACTGAAGGGTAAATTCTACCAAGTAAATTTATTCTACCATAAGTGAAGAAATAAGGCACAAGGCTTTTTAATCCTTTTCTGTCAGGAAGTTGTAACAAGGTTGTGATTTAATGTAGTATGCTAACTATTCAGTCATAAATGTGGGGAAAAGATTTTTAATAATGCATTTGTTCAGCTATCTCAGTTGCTTGTCCATGTGCATATTTGTATAAGCAGAGGGGTAGATTTTGCTGCAAAGAAAATAACATGCATATCAAATAGTTTTTTTAGGCCAAAAGAGAACTCCAGGGACTAGATGAAAATATTTAAGTACTTTACCAACTCATTAATTTTAAAAATAGCATAGTTTACCTCCACAGCTGAGATCTTGGCTCTTCTGGGTAAAAACACTACTCAATAACAATAAGAAGCAGACGATCCTTGAAATCCAGCCATTCATCTTCCTATGTGTGGACAAGCAACCTGCAAAGTCAGATGTTAAGTTCAAGATGCATTAATGCTCTTGGGGCGGGGGAGGAACCCTTAAACCCAAAACCAAGCTTCTGCAAGGCTTCAGAATCTCATCCTCATCTTACAAAATGTAAGTATATGCATGAGTTAAAATACCAATCAATGCCCATACTCAGACTGTAGTACCATTTATTATACAAAACTGCATTGTGAAAGGTAGCAGTTAATCATTGAGTTCAGGTGTAGAAAACAAAGTACTTCTTGTGTAACAGGCCAAAAGGCAGCAATTAGAACTGCAGGTTTCCAGTTATTTGCTTCTTTTTAACTACAGTAGTCAGAACTGTAAAATGTTTGCTAGCAAGCTTTGCTTTCTATAGAAAATCCAATTAAAAGTAATCTCTCTTTTTGGTATATGCCTAATATATAAAAATGAAGGACAAAATGTATTTGGTAAATATAGTAAACATTTGTTAAAACTATTTCCAAACAGAACAGAGCTCCTTGAGGGTGATATTCATGCTTATCAAATTGATTAAAACCTACCAAACAATGATCCAGAATACATCTCAGCTACTAAACATTACTGGATCCTCAAATGAAATCTTCAATTACTTTATATTTTTCTGATTTATTCAGATTTCTATGATTTCCCCATTTTTCAGTTGCCACGATCTTCATGATCCTAACCACCAAACAACCTGAACCTCATTATAGCCTACACCCCAAAAACTAGTTTCTAGTTTCATCATAGAACTACATCAGTTCAGACGTATGTGCATTTTTACAATGTGGATGAAAGAAACACATCACAGAGACAGTAAGCTTTCTTAGGTACATTTTATTTCTACACATAGAAATAATTTTTTAATTGGGGATGCTTAAAAGTGCAGTCTGAAGTGTAACTGGGGAGTCCTAAACCTCAAAGCTGTTACCTGCAGTTTTGGCTTCTACTATTTATTTTGATAAAAAAAATATTGTCTTGAGTTGAATCATACATGTAGCTTGACTCGCACTCAAGGGGAAATTAAATTCTCACCACCAAGCTTGGTAATTCTAGTATATATTTTATTGGCAAGATGAGGAAAGATATTGAACAAGGATTGCAGGCAACTAGGTAATTATGACATTCAGGGACAGATTATGCTATCCAAACATTGCTAATTTGCCATTTTTGTTCTTTTTCACAGTAATTCTATCTTTAATTTTCCTCCCAACGCTGAAAATATTACTTCTACTCTTTATTCTAGGAGAGCCACCCAGTACCGGTGTTTTTGCCAGAGATTTTCTCCAGACTTTGATTAACAGACAACCCGTTATTCGTTTCAACCAGCACGTCCAAGAGTCGGGATGAAACTTTTGCAAACTTATCTCTAAATTCGAGTTGCGGATTCAGCGCTGTGTTTATAACAGAAGCGCTGCTTATATATGTATTCCGACTACTTTGCATATATTATCACAATGATCTTTAGTACAACATGTCTTAAAGACCGGCCACTATTCGTCCCCACTGTGCAAATCGGGAGCCAAACTTCAGAGCCCCATTGGCAAAGGCATTCGGTGCCCTGCGTGGCAGAGCCGAATTCGGAACCAGAAACTTCCTAGCTCTTACTCTTACTCCGACTTGTAAGTGCTACCCCCTATTACTTCTCCCTGAATTAGGTGCCCCGTTTCCAAGCTCATCTTAAGCTCTCACCGGCATCCCCCACAGCGGACCCTCGCGCTCCCTCGGATTCCCCCACTCAGTGCCGGTTAGAGGCGCTTTCCCAGGCTTCTTCTTTCCCGGGGGTGGCTAACATCCGCCTGTCTTTTTTTTTTTTCCCCCTAAATTTCATTTCCTCGGTCGCGCTTGGAAACGACGACTCCTAAACTCTGCTCCGTTCTTCTTCTTCTTTCAACACCCATTAGTCAGACACCCCACCCGCCGAAAGCAGGCTCTTTTAAGCGCAGGCGCTTCTAAGCCGACTCACCTTTTTTTCCCAAAAAGACCGTTCAAGGCCCCCCCCCAAGTCCACGTGGCGAGCAAAGCGGCAAGGTGGCGGTGATAGGCGAGGTTAGGTTGGAAGAAGGCTGTGGGTTGAAGGACGGCTGGGGGCGTGGCCAGATCTCCCCAAAGCATGGAAGCGCAGCCTCTTTTAACTGTTAGCTTCTCTCGCCCGTTAAAATAGGAAAGGTGATTTAGGCACTACATATCCATTCCACCTGTCTGTAATTGCATGAGTCAGATTACAACCTGTTTGAAAGCAGGTGGAGAAAGCTGGTGCGATTATATCTTAACCCTTACCTGCATTCGTAGCCATCTGCGTGACTGTAATAACAATTCAAATCATGATTAATAAGGGCTGCAAAATTTGGAATGGAAACACCCCCCAAATTTGAAACAATAATTAGAAAAGGATCTCAGAGGCTTCTGCAGCAGACTCACAGTTATTACTCGAAATTTGGCAAGCTTTATTGAAATTTCCAAATAAGGAAATTTAGGAAGATTGCAGGGTCTTGATCAGAGAAAAACCAACATTCCTGATAATTGGGTTTATGAGTGCCAGACACATTGATGGGGACACGAGGCAGTGTTGCAATACAAAGATGACTCAACTTTTGTTGCACGAGAACAGTATATTTGCCTATAGTTTTCTTGCAAGAAATGTCCATCTGGGGTCAGTTCCAAGTGGGGAGAAAGACACTGGAAATATGGAGGCTGTTTGAAAAGATGGTTTAATGGTGGACAGGGCCACATGGGTTTTTTGGATCCTAGGCAAATGAGCACATGGGTGAGAGAGAGAGAGAGATTTATACCCTCTCTTGGGCCCCACCTTAGAGCTTCCTGTGTAGGTATCCTGATTGGTTGTCAGACTCCCATGGGACCATGCAGGGGTAACTAATTATAGGTTGTCTCGAGTCCCAGGCTTGGTTGAATCTTGCTGGGTGATGATGTAATGAAGAGGGTTGTGTTCTGAAAGAGTGTTGGGCAATTACTATTATGGCTTAATGGCTTTGTCCTGGTTTGGATCTTGAGTGAGGGCTAATCCTATCATGTCCTGAGAGCGAAGGCCTTTGTTTTGTAGATAACCTGGTCCAGCCTTTCTGGGGTTATGGGGCTGCTTTCCAAGAGCATGTTTCTCCTTTTCTCATCCAAGGGGGTATAATATTCCGCCTTTTTAATATTTCCTAGAATATTTCATACTTCTAGGAGAGGGGTGGGTGCTAACTTCCTACAGTTTCCATAGTACCAATTTGAGCCAAGGCTAAAAAAAAATCTTGCCTTGATTTGTATATTTTAAAATTACTTTAGAAACTTAGTTTTAACAACCAGTTTTAACCAGTTTTATTCAGCTGGTTATTCCAATAGATGGGGGGGGGGTTTGAATATTTTACATATAAACCAGATTTATTTTCCTTCTATATATCTGCAGGTGTTAAATAAATTTATAGCACTTTTCTGCAGATAAGGCAATATACTCTTCATTTTCTTTTTACAGAAATGGGTACACAGGACAATATCCTAGAATGGTATTAAATTCTACAGTAACTATGCTAAAACCCTAAAATATTCCATATTTCTATAGCTTGCTGTTTCTTTCCAGCTTAAAGAAAAATGGGGAAGTACTCAAGTATTAACTTACCAAAAATTAACCTGCCACTCTTCCAATTTCAAAGTTAGTAATATTCATTTACTATGGTAGTAATAATCTTACATTTATATTTTAATGTGTTTTCCAATAACCAAATCATGGCTTTTCTTCAGACCACCTGCACAATATATTTTCATCTGAAAAGGAAACGCCAATCTGATATTTCAAACCTTGAGAGGAGAGGAAAACAATTTTGGCAAAATGGCATCAGTAGATTTGCTTCAGATGGGAGAAGAGAACTGAGATATTATCTAATTCCCAATGTCTCCATTCTTTCCATGATATCAACTGAGTCACCCACAAACAAAAACACAGACTACATCAGACTCACATTATTTATCTTGTGTTATCTAATGTTAAATTAGCTGTGATATATCAGGTAATTATAAATTACATATTATGGCTTTGGTTTATTAAGTATTAAGACCTCCCGTAATCCATAGTTTCATCTCATTAAGCATTTGCACTTCATGGAGATGTTCAAAGGATAAAGTTAAAATTTATTCCCCAAATATTCATAGATATTATTGTTCATTTAGCACATTCAATAACCACACTACACTAGTTCTTTTTAAGAATTAATTCAAGCAATTATTTTGGAAAGGGCAACAATGGAAAAGAGCAAAAAGGTGAGGAGGAGCCAAACAACTATATAACAAAGCATTTCAAGAACATATTTAAATGCTTAAGCAGCTGCATTCATTCATAATTACAAGCAACAAGTAAGACATTTCTTTTGATGTTTTATTGGCATTACAATGGTTGTAACTTTGGCAACAGTTTCAGGGTAAAGACCTCCCTCTTCCTTTTAAAATGCTTAGATCTGTTTGTGATGAAGGCTGGTGTTCATACTTCTTCAAATAAGTGAGAGTCAGACAATATATAGTTTCCTGAAAGCTTTCCAGAATTTTGGCTTAGGATAGCCCCTTACGTTTTCTAATTATGGATATGGGAAAGAGATATTAAATTAAAATATACATGACAAATGCCCAATAACACTCTTACAATGTCAGAAGATTCTGACTGGCTTTTTTAAAAATTTGTATAGGTCTTCCCGTTCAAAGATAAGCAGACTTGATCTTTCACTTGACTGTGTCTGCACGAAGACCCAAAATTGGAGCAGTGACTGTAGTCAGGAAGCTCAATCTATACAGCCTCTGATATACGGTTTCTGCTTGAGCAGGAGGTTGAACTAGAAGACCTCCAAGATCCCTTCCAACCCCATTTTACGTTCTACTGGAATGTAAAAAAATTCAATATCTCCGCACAATAATCAATGTTTGCAATAGTGGCGAATATCTGTATCTGAATAATTAAATGTTTAAAAACCATTAACTTTCATAACAATTAAAAGCTAGGATTTTTAAACAAAGATTAATTTCTTGTCGGCTTTGCTGTACTTTTACCATGTTGTTTTCCGAAACCTCTCTAAAGTTTGCTGTAAATTATAGTGTCACTTTTGGGGGAATAGCTGTAGCAATAGCAATAGTGCTTAGACTTTACAGCACTCTCTGAGAGGTCTACAACATAAGCATATTTCCCTCAACAATCTGGGTCCTCATTTTACCGACCTTTGAAGGATGGAGGGCTGAGTCAACCTTGAGCCCGTCAGGATCGAACTCCAGACTGTGAGCAGTTAGCTTGCAATACTGCATTCTAACCACGCCGCTACCAGGGCTCTTGGACATGACAAGGCTCTGTTATTGGCCAGTCCTAAGGCTGTTTGGGAAAGCATGGCATCACCAACTGCACTTCCTTGAGAAGTTATGAATCATATTCATTCCAATTCATAGATTAAAAAGCGTAAGTAAAGAGCTTTAAGAAGTACAGACCTAAATGCAAAAACTCATGCCCAAATCACAGGAGCTTATTCTCTGGGAAGATAATGGACAGGAACAAAATACTATCAGGTAAACAGATGGCAGGTCAATTGTTATTGATTTCCAGCAAAAAATGAGTGCAACTTACTATATTTGAGGATTCCTAAAAGGCAAGCCAAACCTTTCAGTAGAAAGACTGAAGACTTATCTCTCACCCAATCACAACACCCCATGTTAAAAATACATTTCAGTGGTTAAACATTATGTTGTTCCCATAGTCTCTACTTCAGCTTAGTGTATCCATGACTTCTCAGCAGCAGCTGTTTTGCCTCAGAAGGAGGCACAAAGTAGTATTGCAGGCAGTGGAGGAAAGAGGTATCCAAAACTTTCCTGAACTTACAGCCCCTGCTATCTTTTGCTACTTCTCCGTGTCTCTTTGCCATTGCTGACTGGGTTTGAGGATGACCCTATACTTGATGAGCTTCCACCTTGATGGTTGGGTTGACTCCTAGTGATGCGACTGGTGGTAGGATGGGTTGAGATGCTGGGTTGGTGCAGAGCACCACCAGAGGGGATCAACCCATTGCCATTCTGGTTCTCTGCAGCTGAAGCCAAATAACATGAACATAGAAAGATATGAGTGAAACAAGATCAACGAAGCTACAAAATTCAGTGTAATCTTGAAAACCAGAGTTATTATGAAAGATTTGTCCCTACATAAAAAATCCTGTATTGAGTTCTCAGACAAGGACCCACAAAGGAGGCCAAAGGAGTATGAGCAAGAAAAATGATTCAAAAATAGGTGGAAAGGTAAAGAAGCCAAAGGGGGTCACATTTGCTTGTTGGTTTTTAGATTGTGACTTGATTTTGGATCTGGATTTCATTTCTTTGATTAGAGTACAAATGCTAGATCCTCTGGCAGATGATTCTCCAAGAAGGAACTTCTAGAAGTTTGCAGTAAGTCACCAGGCAATGAGACCATGGTCTCTACGCCACAGCTCTGTACGTGTCCTGCCAATCAAACGGAGACTAGCCCAGAAGTTGAGATTGACATCACACTAAGCAGAGTTAGCAGCCTTCTCAGGGGCAGCAACTTATTTCCCTGAGCAGCTGAACACCCCCAGGGATCATCACAATGCCCTTCTGCTCATTTTTCTGAGTTTTCCAAGGAGAGACAATAATGGAAGGGGGGATGGGCACAGAAAGCCTCCTGAAGATAAAGTGCTCCAATTCTACTACTGAAAAAAAGTCCCAACAGCCAAGAATCATACCCATCTTTTAATGGCCCCATTTCAGTTCACTATTTGGGAGTCTGGGAAAAGTCTCAGGTGAAGGTTGGAGGCTTCCCGCTCCCTTCTCCACCCTTACTTTCAAATCCCCACATAAATATTGTACCAGTGAAGACTGGCTTCTCTGCTACTAAATCCTGAGATGCTGGGAGAACTCATGTGGCCTCCTGACTAGTCCATTGACGTATGGCTTGTTGACCAAACAAAAGCACTAATTTTATTCCTATGTAACATTGTCACAAATCATGGTTTATAAACCACAGTATCTAAATTAAGGTAGTCCTTGACTTACAACCATTTGTTTAGTGACTGTTCGAAGTTACAACAGAACTAAAAAAATTGATTTATGAACATTTTCACATTTATGACTGTTAGAGCATCCTCAGGGTCACACAATCAAAATTTGGGTGCTTGGCAACTGGCATGGATTTATGACAGTTGCGTTGTCCCAGGATAACGTGATCACCATTTAAAATCTTCCCACCTGGCTTCTGACAAAGCAAAGTCAATGGGGGAAGCCAGATTTGCTTAACAACTGCATGATCCACTTAACAACTGCAGTGATTTGCTTAACAACTGTCACAAAAAGGGTTGTAAAATGATTTAACTGCATTGCTTAGCAACCAAAATCTTGGACTCAGTTATGATTGTAAATCAAGGACTACCTCTGTGTAACAATAAGCTAAAACCAAATAAATCATAATTAACCAATCAAAATGAATGAGCAGAAGGAACAAAAGGTCCCAGTTTATGATGTAATATTATATGCAAGCCCAGCTACATGTTTATGCACCAGCCAGCCAATAAATTAGCCCACCCTATTTATAAATCTATAAATCAGATTGTCAGAATGTCATCAAGGCAAGAGCAGATCTTTCTCTCACTAGCTTGGATCCAGATGTATTACCTGCTGATGTAGAAGGTCCTGTTGTAGTTTGAGAGGCTGTAGGGGCTGCATTGTCATTCGGTGTCTATAAGACAGAACCAAAACAACTATTTTAACCCATGCAGAAATTCTAGATTTAAAAGACCCTGGGGCTTAGTCAGGGAGGAAACCAAACCACCCAGAATTTCTAAATGTAGATTCAGAATGGGTGGAGAAGAGGAGGAGGCATAAACTATGTTGTTGTTGTGTCCAACCAATCACGACCCCCTGGACAACGGCCTTCCTGTCCTCTACCATCCCCCGGAGTCCATTTAATCTCACGCCGACTGCTTCAGTGACTCCATCCAGCCACCTCGTTTTCTGTCGTCCCCTTCTTCTTTTGCCTCCAATCTTTCCCAGCATTAGGCTCTTCTAAAGCATAAACTATATTAAATTACAAAACAAAAACCTCTTCTACAACAAGGCAACAAAATCTGGCTGGCAAGATATTATCTGTTAAAATGTTATCTGGAAAATATTACTGAGAGATGAGTCCAGCCAACTAGCCAATAAATTTGCTCCCATTTAAAATCCTACTCATACTGTTGAGTTAGATCCATTCAGGCATCCAATAAATTTGCCAAATCCATATCCTGAGATTTTGTATTATTATTTATTAGATTCAATTCTCATATTTTCTCAGGAAACTCAAGGCTGGAAATATGGGGATTTTGTTCCCATAACTCAATGAGGCATGTTTGGCTGAGACTGTATATAAATCCACCTGGTGAGTCTGCATGACTGAGGATGGACTTCAATCCAGGTTCTCTCAGTGCAATCCAATGCATTAACCACTACACTCTTTTAAAAATCATGCAGGAGAACCCCCTCAGCTTCTGTTTATCCCTTCACATTTCATCAAAGTGGCTCTTAAACATGCAAGAACTCTTCTCAGACCTGAAAAGTTTATTATCCCCTTTTTTAAAAAAGGAAAGCCAGGATAGGCTATCCAGCTTCGGGTGTCCATGAGAAGGGTCAATTTCTTCAATGTGGTTGGCGTAATTAGATAACTGAAGCCATGACTTTTTTTAATGGCTACCACATGTATTGCTTCCATGTGGGACTTGCATCCCTGGTCTTGCCTGACACTTGAGATCCATGACACCTTCTGTAGTCATTTCTCTAGATGATCTGAATCTACAGACTTTGGTTGGGACTAGCAGACGGTGAAGCCCAAAACATAGGGCTCACTTGTCCTGCATTAGATTGTGTAATTAGGTTGTGTACGCTCGCTCAGTTGAGATTGACATCTGAGCACTTTATGGAGGCAACCATATACTGTATATGTCACTGTCAACAGAACTAAAGAGGTCTTTCTCATTCCTTTTTCAAGAATTCCCCCCCCCCCCCCCCTTTCTCCTTCCTGGCTCAATCAATATCTCCAATAGTGGTTGTTAGAGTCCTATCTATGTAATAAGCAAGTCTCCTTTAGTTTAGCTTCTGAGTCCAAGTTGGGCCAATGCTGCCACCTGCTGAAACTTTCTCTTGATAGGCACATGTAAAACCCAGCTTCTACGAAATGTAAAACAAGCATGGGATTTTAAAGAGAAGAAATGCAACAGGAGTTGGTTATAATATTTTTAAAGGATTCTGCTTCAGCAAAAAGAAATGGCATGAAAAGTACCAGTCATCATGTGATTGGGCAAGGAATGGTTCTTAGGCTTATAAAATCCATCATTAAACATTTATTTTACACCTCAACATCAGTTCAGACAAAGTTCCTTGCATTTTCCCTAATTTCCATATATATGTATGTGTACATATATACACAAACGTATTTGTGTGTGTGTGTTTAGAAGCAATCTATTACTCTACATATCATTCTTCACTCATAGTTAAATTTTAAAGATTATGTCCAACCTATACTATCTCTGAGTCATATAAGTCACTAACTGAAAACAACCAAACTAAGGCAATTCTTATACTTACATTTTTGTTTTGTGACTGCTGGGCAACATAGTCAGGATTTGGCTCACTAAAATTTGGCACTTCTGAATAAATCATACAAAACCTAGAGAGCAAGAGATGCAACTGTCATTCAACTGATGGTTTTTTTTCTCTGTTCTTTTTAATTCCCACTCTTCAATAATGCATACTGCCCTGTCATAATGAAACCGCAATATGTCCTATAGCGGCTTATAGCTCGTTTGAAAAAGAAACCCTGAGTCTTACAATCAAAGTGGCTTGAGAACAAAAGAAAAAAAAAGTTAGACAGAAGAAGGGAACCAAAATGAGGCACCATTGAAATTATAACTGAGATGGTAATCCATCTGGTATCCTAAGGGTTATTGCTAAGCTTCCTTTGAAGATAAACTGAAGACTGCCGCCCCTCCCCCACAAACAGGTGCAAGAATGTCCCTTTTTTGTAGTGCAGCAAGATGGAATAGCCATCCAAAACAATCCTTTAACTACCTTTAACTTTTCTCTGGCAAATACAAACTTTTAAAAGCTCCGCTCTTCCAAACAATGGACTTTCAAGGGAGGTGGGTGGAAAGAATAAAGGTAGGAAAATATTAACTCAAGCTATTGAAATTAAAACTTGACCAGCCAACAATGGCAACACTATGAATCTGGCGTTAATGTTCATATTGTTAATAAATGAAAAAGATCCAGAGGTAGATACTAACAGTGAGGCAAGATTATTTACAGTGAGCTCCTGTTGAAGATCAAAGGAGGCGGGTGGGTAGCTCTATCTCAGACATCAACTAGGACCGCGATGGCAAACATATAGCATGCGTGCCAAAGGTGGCACACAAAGCCCTCTTTGTGGGCATGTGTGCCGTGGCCCCAGCTCACCCAGCTGGTCATCAGGTTTTTAGCGCTCTGGCACATGTGCGTGCATGCATGCACGCACCTTCCGTTTTGGGCACTCAGCGCCTAAAAGGTTAGCCATCACTGAACTATCATATAATATGATAGACTTGCAGGGCATGCAACATGTTCAAACCAATGTAATATAATATAATGTTACATATACATATGTATATGGGAATGTGTGTTAGTTATTACTTATTTGGGTTTAGGGATTCTATTTCTTTCATTTATTGAGTTATTGAAATGTATTTTGTGTTTCTGGGGGGGGGGGGGACTGCACCAAGGGAGGCTCATTCAATTTCATTGTATATATGTTGTGCATTGACAATAAAGGTTTGATTTGATTTGATTTGAATTGAATTAGGAAATACTTTATTTGACCTTCTTGGACAAACTTGTTTCATCTGGGCATTTAAGATCAATTCATGGTTAGTGGAATAAATAAATCAAGATAGTTCTAACATTAAAACTGAGGACTGTGAAGTAGTCTTTGAGATGTTCAGAGATCCAGCTTTAAAGGGGGAGAGATCAAGTGAATTGAGGGGGTGCACATAGCACCTGCTGGCAGTTCCTTAAATCAAACACATCTTTTCAAGGAATGTGACGCAGCATTTGTACAATCCCAGAAAAGATGCATCTTCTTCATGAAACTGAAATTTTATGAAGTGAAAGAGCCAGTTTGGTCTACTGGTTAAGGCACCAAGCTAGAAACTGGGAGACTATGAGTTCTAGTCCTGCTTTAGGCATTAAAGCTGACTAAGTGGCTTTGGGGTAGTCACTCTCTCTCAGTCCAAACCATCTTGTAGGATTGTTGTTGTGGGGAAAATATGAGGAGTGTATATTAGATATGTTTGCTGCCTTAATTATTTATAAAGATAATAAAGGCAGGATTAAAATAAAATAAAATAAATATTTAAGAGGAAAATGCACCCCCATGCATTCTGAATTACCTTTTCCTCTTTGACCTGCACATACTTAATATATATTCCTTGTCCTTTTTCACATTTTTCTTCCAAGGCATGTCTTTTTATCCTAAGGATAGTGAACCTCTATAGTTCTATAAAATGATCTAAGAATGGCTAATATATGGAAATACAAAAGCGATTTAATAAAAATCATCATAACAAATCTTTATCAGCACAAATAACTGTAATAAATTCAGTGTGAGATTTCTCAATGAAATATTACTGGGAAAACTAGAGATTCACTGTAAGACAAAACATAAAATGTATCTCGATACAAAGTGAAATGAAAATTAAATCTAGCATAGGGTGGAGACATTTATCCTAGGGAATTAAGAAGTGGTGGCATATTTAGAGCTGTGAATCAAGCGGTGATTTCCTAATGACAGATGGATTGTTAAATGTAACCAGAAATATGGCAATGTGTTACCAATACCTTTCAACTGAGAAACAAAAGAAGATGTCTTCCATGGTTTCAGTTACTTAACGTCTTCTAGGGCAGAACTATTCTTTAGCAAAAATCTGTCTTTGCACAACATTGGGAAAAAAATCCACCTAACCATCCCCTAATCCTAGGAAGAGCCATTGAAATAAACTGTGAGCCTTACTCTCCTACTTTCTGCAGATCTCCTCCACGTCCAGTGTACAGTGTCAAGCAGCCTTTGAAAATCGATGAGTACCTGATAAAGAAAAACTCATGATTAAAAAGCAGCACACAATTCCTAGTTTTTCTCAAAAATAAATCTGTCTTTTTGGTGCATCGCATGAAACTCTACCTGCATACTATCTGTACAGTGCTTGTTTGTCCCTCACTGAAATAAATCAACCTTCCACACAAACATGGTAATGGGTGCAAGAAAGGAGATTACATGTTTTTAAATCTAATTGAAACCAGTGATACCTTGAATTCAGCAGATTAATTTCAACGGAGTACCCTTGAATTAAAAAAAAAACTTACTTCCAAGGAGCTATGTATGGGATCATGCTTTTAAGTTTTCTAGATTTGCTCCAATTATTGGAATTGAACAAAAATGTTTAGTTAGTTGGGCTGACTGCAGAGTATGGCAAACTTATTAATGTGTTAGGTCTCTGTTAGCATGTTCATTCATATTTGTATAGAACATCATAAAAGGTCAGAGCAATCTTACAGGGTGCTCTGCTTGTATACAGGTAGTTCTTGTTTAGTGACTCTCATTTAGCAATTGTTCAGTGTTATAACAGTGATGAAAAACTTTACAACCAATTCTCACATTCTCAACCCTTGTAGGTCTCTAAACCAGAGAAAAGCTGAAGTAAAATCATAAGATCACAGCAATGGTTTCATTTAGCAACTGCTTCTCTTAACAACCAAGTTGCCAGTCCTAACTGTAGTCATTAAAAATAGACTACCTGTACACCACTTTTAATAAGCAGATTCATGTGTTCTGTGTTTGGTTAACTATCATTTACTGAATAAGCAAAATTGGATTGATTCAAATTACATACTGAGCCATAAATCATGGTTTATAAACCACAATAGCTGGGTTCAACTCCATATACTAAGCCAAAATTAAGCAAACTAAGTTATGACCAAGGACAATGCATAAATTAAGCTTAAGTCTGCCTTTGTGTAAATAAGAGGAAAATGAACCTTAAAAACAACATGTACATTTGCAGAAGAAAATATATACAAGTCTAAGAATTAGGTTAAATGTTGCAGATTAGACTGATTCCAAGAATTATAGAGTCTTTAAATTAGGGTTGATGAAAGCTTATTCTGCTGGATCTAAAACATCTGGTAGCCCAAGATTGCATGGCCAATGATGATGATTGTTGGAAGATAATAGCTCAGCAACATATAGAAGTCTCAGAATCCCCCCCCCTTAAACTTTCCTAACAAAATTTAGAAAAGTGGTGAAACACGTTAAATAACTAATTTGTATGAAGTAATTTGAGCACATTCCACAAAACAGCCAAGTCATACTTGCTGCTCTCTTGACATTGGGTTTAGCCACAGTCTCAAAAATAACTCTTCCCTCCGCTTCTCCCAAGCTGTTCCTCTTGGAAAAATCCCCCATACCCTTTGGTGAGTCGGATGATATCGCCCGGCTGGATTAGGTTTCCAACATCATCCCATACAGAGATGTTTATGCTGCCTGTTTTGTCAGCTACTTTACAGGTCCGTACTTCATGACCATCCTTTGTCTTGGTCACCCGGCCTAGTGATAGAACAAGAACCACAATTCAAGAAAATTGCAAGGATTTGTTATCATGAGTGAAGGAGAGGTTTTTTATCCGTCACTGTTTCACTCCGAATACACCCCACCTTCATCTGCATATTCCTTTAAGCTCAGAAGTTTAAATACTGAGCTTCTGTTGTGTGTGTGTAAAACTGGAAGTAAATCGTTTAGATTATCTAAAAATTACTCTTTTTGCTGAGAGTTCAGTCTGCTTCTCCTTATCATTAAGAAAGGTCTTCATGATCAGCAGCAGTAATCATGCCATACAGGTAGTCCTTGCTTAACAAGGATATTTGGGACCAGGATTTCCATCACTAAGTGATGAGGTCATACAATGCAACCTCACAACTCTATTGCTAGCAACAGCAATTTTGGCATTCCTTGTAGCTGTCCTTAAGCAAATCCTGTCGTAAGTTTGAACAGTCACTGAATGAATTATCATTAAACAAGACCTGTATTACTTTCCCCCTCATATAAGACTGCAGTTTTAAACCCACTTAGGTATACTGTAAGTAGATATCATTGAATTCCCTAGGATGTAACTTATATTAAATTTTGTAAAGTATTTTTTAAATTTACAAGCCAATAGATACTACAAATTGTTCGGAGTACAAAGGGGGAAGTCAGAAATTAAATATTAAGTATATTATTCTCAAGGATATTGTTTTTTCTTCTTTTTTAGCATTATAAATAATACTTTAGTGGAGATTTTGGCATTAAGCTCAAAAATATATACTTCTGCTTTGTATCATGAAAATAGTTCAATGTGCTTTGTTTGGTATGTTTTACCTTTCACTAATGTTATTTTGAGCATTAAAACTTCAGTAATTATCTGTCCATTTATATAAAGTATCTTTTTTAAAAAAAATAATTTTGTTTTAAATGAATTTTTTTTAGTCTGGTCAATAACCAACATTTTTTGGAATACGACAGCAATTAGTTAATCAATGAGGGAAAGGAAATCATTGCAAAGCAATTACAAAAAAGGCAGTAAAATATTTTATCCAGAATTTAAGCATTCTAGTGAAATAAGCATGTAGCTTGGTCTCCCAACTGCTTATATAGTGATTTAAAAAAGCAAACCTATCTTCTCTTCCATGTGACTTACCTGTTTCCAGCACAATGAATATAAGATTTAGATTTTTCATGCCTGGTTTAATATCCTTCACCAACGTTTCTGTTGTCATGTTAAATGGCTTTTGATTTCCAATACCTGGCAAATAATTTTAAGTAGTCTTATATTCATAGATAGAACAAATAAGAAAATGCTGATTTATAGTAGATAACTATTCTACTTTAATCTTGAAGATATTATGTACTCTTCCACTGATATAAAACACAGCCCATTTCTAAATGTGCAAGATTATAAAGACATACACATATAAGATGTGTAAATTAAATTTATTCCTCCCATTATCACATTCTTCCTTCTACTACAATTACTTGCAAGAAGTTGATATATTTTTGCCCAATACCAAGAGAGAAAGTGAACATGACTCACTTTAAAAAAAAAAAAAGATGCTTTTAAAGTACAGTGATGTGCAGACATCCTCACATCTGTACTTTTAGAAGCATCTGTTTAAAAATTGTTCACTTTCTCTCTTGAATAGTTGACATATTAGCCTATGATGTTTAAAAACAAATAATTTCAAATATTATTCTGCAAGTGCTTTGTGATTCCATATAGCTTTTGTTCACAGAAGCTTTTCCAGTTTGTCAGAATCACAAGAGGGCAAAATAGTATCAACATCTTGCAAGTAATTGTAAAAGAAGAAAGAAGGTAGGGTTTAAAATAAACTCTACATTTTAACATACAAGGCATAATTTTATTTTCTTTTTTTAGTATGTTGTGTGAATCTAATCAACTGTGATTTGGTAAGCAAATTAAGCTCAATATATAAACCCAACCAATATTATCCAAACCATACCTAATTCGGAAAATAAACTTTGAAAAATCGAAAATAAAAAACAACAGAAACAAGGAGTTAAAGTACATATGCAAGAAATCAATTTCCACAATATTTGTCTATCAAGAAAGAAGCAGAATATTACTGGAAATATGTGTAGGAATATGGGCTGAATTCTGTATACCATCCTCAGGCACACACATCTTCTATCCCAAGCACACCTTAATTTCCATGATCATAAAACACACATCTATACATTTATGACAAACTTCCTTGACAGAGATTTGAAATGCAAATGTTTTACATACAACTTCTATAAGCTACACAGAAAATCACTACAGTTTTAATCAATTCATCACAAAAGACAGTGTAAGAGCTTTTACTGATTACAATCTTAGAATGCATACATAAAATCACATTTTTAATAGATTTCTTGTTTCCCTATAACAGGGCAGAAGCTTTTTGACACTCCTTGGGAAATTATAAAGAAAATTCGTCTCTCCAATACACTCTTGAGTGTAATCAATCCAAGTATCTAAAAGATGGCTATAAAATATACCCTCCCCTCCCCCACATCCACTCCCAAATTCCATCCATGTTTAAACTGCTGCTGTTGATTTTTTTCTTTTCAAATTATGAGCTCATTCTGGTCTTTTATAAAAGCTAGTAATGCAGTTTTATCAGCTTTTAGCTCCCACTGATCCTTGTTAGAATACCTACTTTGCACAAAACTTAATAATTTTTCAGAACATGTAGAAAGCCAGTTTCAAGGGAGGTTGTGTAGCATCCTTGATCTGGTCAGAGGTTTCATTCCACTGTGAAAAAGAAAAGCAAACAAAGTACTTTCCATTGTTTCTTAGGGAATCATTTATCCTCCTGATCAAATTACATCTTCTAGCAGTTTTTTGCTAAGGGATGCCTCTCCGTATGAAGCAGATACCATTGCTCTTAAATAACATGCTTGCATTGTAAAAATGCAATTAAATAAAAGATAGTTTAAAAGTTCAATAGAACAACTAAGTCAATATGCTAGTGAGCAGACTCGTTCCTACTGAACATGGATTCTGCTGGCCCTGCAACATGTCCATATGTTTTTGTGCTATGTCCAGAGCAACAAACAGTCTGCCGAAAACGCATATTCTTCTTACCTATAATCTCATGGCTATTAATTACATCTTGCATAAAAGAAAGTCCCCATCACCACTTTTTCAGTGAAAGAGCCAGATGAACGTCCACTTGCAGACATTCCAGGAAGTATCCTGCAGCGTCCAATCCAGCCAATCACAGCACAAGACAGCCCTTCGACATGTAGGAATGTTCCAATCTTCCAGCCAATTGCAAGCTGATAAAGCATTAAAGTGACAGTACCAACAACTGTAGACATTGTAGGGGGAGATCCGCAATTGTCTATGGTAGCAAAAATAGAGCTTGGAGCATTTTTTAAAACAGATTTTATTGCAAGGCATAGAGTTTCATGAACTGCAGCTCGCTTTATCAGATGCGTGGAGTAGCTCAACTGTTGTACGATTTAAATAGGTACTGTACGGAGAGATTGAAGGAGGGAGAGAAAGACTGTGGGTGCACAGATGAAAATTGCATGGGAACAAACTACAAATTGTTTATCAATTAACAGTTTTAAAGTCTTAAAAATCTATTGTGTTTGTTAAGATCTTCTGAAATATCCTGAAACGTATTGATGGAAGTATAGCTATCTCAATTTTTGACTGCCAACAACTAATTACAAGCAGAGCGTTTTCTACCCCAAAAAACAATTTGCAATATATTCAAATCTTGATGTTCGAGAACTTAACTAGTGGACTCAAGACATGCAATATTTCCATCAGTTTTGAAATTAGTCTATCATTGAATGTCTTCCTTTTGGGTTTCGTTTAAATATGAGCACAAGCTGGATTGCAAAAAATTAGAAACAGACAGTACAATTAATGGGCATCTTTGTAACATCCCACAAAATATCCCTAATTTATTGAATGCATTTTCTGTTAAAGGTTAGATTTAGATTGATATGTATTTTCTATTGTTCATAGTTACAGCTTTTGAATTTAATAAAAAAATACGCATACATCTGCCTATTTTCACTTTAATAAGATTATCTGTGCATTGATGTGACATGATTATTCAAAAGGCCAGGAGATTTTAGCTATATTCTAATTACCGAGATCTATCTGGCTGAAGGGGAAGAGTCTCCTTCATGGAGATCTATCCAGCGAGGTGTTTTATTCTGCATCATTTGCAACCCCATGACAGGATTAGCATAGTGTGGCAACTGGTTGCCAGGAGATCCTAACTGTTGTGCAGGTTGTCAGTTGTTGCTACATTCCATGCTGAAGAGATAATTGTGGGTTTTCTCAGCCTCTTACTACTAGGTGATTTCAACCTCCTTTCCATGGGATCTGAGACAGCTTGGGAATTCATAACCAAACATTCACTGTGTAATAATATGTCAATTATACAGTTCTTTGGAACTTTTCCATCAATCCATTGTCACGGGCAGCTCACTTCTTTATTATTTACTAAATTTGTAAATTTGACTCCCAGTAAGTGAGGCAGTTTTGTTGTTGTTAGTTGCGAAGTCATGTCCGACTCATCGCAACCCCATGGAAAACGTTCCTCCAGGCCTTCCTGTCCTCTACCATGCTCTGGAGTCCATTTCAGCTCACGCCGACTGCTTCAGTGACTCCATCCAATCTTTCCCAGCATTAGGCTCTTCTCCAGTGAGCCCTTCCTTCTCATTAGGTGGCCAAAGTTGCGAACCGGTAGTAAAGGTAAGTAGAACCCACCCCTGGTTCAAAGGCCTCAATTCTTTGGCGCTCAGCTTTTATTATGGTCCAACTTTCACAGCCATACATTGCAACTGGGAAAACCATAGCCTTGACTATACACACTTTTGTTGGCAGGGTGATGTCTCTGCTTTTTAGTAAACTATCTAGATTTCCCATAGCTTTCCTCCCCAGGAATAAGTGTCTTTATAAATTGGCAGTTTACAATGATGTGAATTTTAATTTAATAGACATTTGGATTTAATAGACACACACTCTACTCAAATGGTTTGTTAAACTGAGATTTTACTGAATATCCAATACTTAGGTCCTTCCTCCATAGAAAATATATATTATGAAGAGGAATTACAACATAGAAGCATTTTTCAGGTTTGATGACTCGTTTAATATTTAAAGTTCAGATGAAGAAAAGAGAGCATCCCATGAAGCGTCAGTGACAATTGTATTCAGTTCCATCCTTTACTGATTTGTCTGTCGCTTGTTATTTTTCTGCAAATACAGTATATCCTCAGTTCTTGTGAGCTTCTCACTAATGACCAGCTACTGCTTTAACTTCATCTTCTAGTCTTAGAAGTTCTTCTAAAAAAGGAATATCTTCTAAGATATCTTAGATGCTGAGATGTTTATTGTACAAATTTAAGCACATTTTCCCATCTTTTTAATCTTCAATTACCATCTCTCCAATTGATTCATTTATCATTCCAAATGAAAATTGGCATCTCCTGGAATTCAGAGATCTTTTGAAAAAAAAATACCTTGTTTTTCTGTGTCTGTTTCCATCTTTATGATCTTTACAGATATTGATGTAATACTGCTTCTTGTCTCTGCTAATAGTTCTCTGAAATTTTCATTAAGTTAAGTTTCTCTTTCTTGGCTTTGGCGTCTTCTCTCATCTCTTTTTGGTTACAGTTTTTCACTATCTATTATGATCTCGTTTGCTTTCTTTTATTTCTTGATATTTTTACAAGGATCCTTATTTAATTTCTTTTTACAATTCCTCTTACTCCCTACCAATGACATCATGTATTTCAAAGTGATTCCTGATGATGTCCTTGAAAACTGAGTTTTTGAAATTGGATTGCCAGAAATTGGTAAATCATTCTTGTGCTTCATTTCTGTTTCTTAGGCCATATAATCCAACTATGTTTTTTTCTTTATTGGTTTTATTTTTTTTTGCATTCTAGTCTCCAACCACAAGAAGCACATCTTGCTTATAAATTGATTGCAGATTGAACTTGATCAGAAAATTCCTCAATCTCTTTTCCACAATCATCATTGGTTAAAAACAACAGTATTACTCCTTTTGTGTGTATGTCCTGTGTAGTACACAGTACTGAATGAACTTCTGACCGCATGTCAGAATACCAATCCATTTCAGTTTTCTGATGCCCAAGATGTTAATGTGCAGTTGATTGATTTAATCTTTCACATATTCAGCTTTCCCATGTTCATGTTTCTTATATCCTGCTGCCCATTGTAATCCAGGCTTTGTAGCTGTGGATTTTCTTTTCTTGCATGACATCAGCAGCTGGATATTAGAGATATTTTTTTTAATCTAGCTGCATCATAAAAAGCATAAGTACACTACTCTAAAAGATTCTCAGCTCTTCCACAATAGCATGTTAGGCAGCGGTGAAATGCACTTACCTTCGCTACCGTTTTGGGAGTGTGAGCGCACGTACCTCTTCTGCGCATGCGCATAGCCTTCTGCGCATACACAGAGGGTCAAAAACGGGACGTAATGGTGTCCCGGTGGGTGGGCGGAGCTTCCCACCACCAGTGCTACCGGTTTGCGCAAGCCGGATAGATCCGGCCGGATTTCACCACTGATGTTGGGTACTATTCCTCTAGAAAGCTCCTCATCTGGCCTTATTTTGTAAATCTTTGTCTTGTCTATCCATGTGGTTTTCTTGGTAAAATACATAAATGGTTTAGTATTGCCTAATTCCCCACAGCATGAAATTATATCCTTGTCATTTTCCTTAAAGTGTTCATCTATCTTCAACATCTTCCTGTATCACTGCTGTCCAATATAGATGTCTGCTTGCTTTAGTAAGCAGCTGGGATGATCTTTAACCCTCAAGTGATCCTGCTGAGAGTATAAACTCTTGGCATACATACCTGGTGTTCTTCCTTCATTTCTCCAGGAAAATAAATGCCATGAGGCAGCAGAGCAAGACATGAGGGCGAGGTCAATAGTCAACATTCATATATAATAAATTATTTCCAAATGTATACTGCTAACAGGTGTAATTATAAATATATAGTATCCTTTTGTTGCCATCTAATGGTCACCCATATTTTTACAAACTACTGTTAGAAGAAAAATCTGGTCTGGTTCCAATCCGGGAGAAAGAAGCTGGAAATATGGAGGCAGGTTGCAGGAAAGGAAGTCTGTTTATTTGGTATCCAGAAACTAATGACAGCAGCATGTTTCTGGGATGGCTGACAAAATGTGGGTTGAGAGTAGGTGGGCTTTTATATATTTTGGGGGGCTTTGTGATTGAGATGCCTGATCCTTGTGAAATTATACTTTGACCTGTGCTTGAGTGTACCCTTTTTGGTATTCTAATTATTGCTGTCTGACTCCCTTTGTGGCTGGGAGGTCATGTCCTGTCCTTGGAGCTGAGTGGGGAATGTAGATTTTAGGAGTCTTTGTTTTTCCGCTTTTAATCCTAACAGTTCAGCCTTCTGTGGGAACTGTAGCTGAAGATGTTTTGTTTATGATGGAGCTGTTTGGCTCTGTATAAATACATGTAAATCCATGTAAATGGATACTGAATGGAATGCTCCAGTTTTCTAAATAAATACAAAAGTATATAATTCATAAAACTTAATTGTTGGAGGGACTGTCTGAAGTGCTTTCCTGGTAGTAGAGAGAAGTGAATGATTTGATCCTAGGAAAGCCTCCTTTCTGAGGGGGGTCGGGTGCTGACTTCTTACGCTACCATACACTGGGATATAAAAGTCCAGGTGACTACTTTATGATAGCATGAAGTTTGGGTTTTTTGTATCTATACTGCCATCTTATGGTCATCTGAATTGTTGCAATCCAAATATGGTACTGTGTTTCCCCGAAAATAAAACCCAACCGGAAAATAAGCCCTAGCATGATTTTTCAGGATGCTCATACTATAAACCCTACCACAAAAATATGTCCCAGTTAAGATAATCAGCGAGACAGATGCATTTAGTATGTCTGTTGCAACACATGATGGACGTATTGAATTATAAAGTAATAATATTAATATATAATTAAATATAAATAAATATTATTGGCACTAATACTTAAAATAAATGCTAATATAAATTATAATTAAGTATTTGTAAATACATAAGTGGGTGCCTTTGGAGAAGAGGTAAACCAATGCCTATGTAAACAGATGAACTTGAGACTTATTGCCGAATGACCAATCGGAGTACAGACCCTACACATGAATAACATGTGCACTTCGATAATGAACAGATGTG